ATGTAACGTATATGACTGATGATATAAAATGCAGAACGAATATGTGATAAAATAAACCCCTTTTAATATTCTTTTCATTGTATCTCTATTTAGTGCGATGATCCAGTAAACTGTACTTTTTAAAATAAGTATCGTATGAAAAATACCAAATCAAACAAACTCGGTATTTCCACTTGAAAGTATGATGTAGGTGCTAAGGGGTTGTTCGGTTCATTTTCCATTAAGTCATGTTTGGACAAAGTTGTCTGAAAATAAATATGTTTGTATGATATTTGATAAGTTGTACGGTTGTTATACTAAATAATCAATCTAAATGATGAAAATGACTATTTTACCCTTTGTTTTACATTAAACATTCAGTTCCACCAATTCAACCACTAAAAAATCGATTGTTCCTTTGTAACCAAACCAATGTATAGATCAAAATCAAACCAAAAATCAGAAATCGCACTCAATTCGAAACACATAATCAGAAACCAATCGATAAAATCGAAATTAAAAACTGAATTCGAACCCTAAATCAGAAACTCACATCAAACCTAAATCAAAAACTAAATTTGAACCATAAATGGGTTGTTCATCAAGTGAGGATTTGAACCAGAAGGAAACCCGGAAAAAACGTTGATCCGAGGGTTTGAGCCAAAAGGGTTTGAACGGAAGGAAACCAAGAAGGAAACCCAGAAGATGAAGAACAAATGAGGGAGGAAACCAAGAAGGGCACCAGAAGATGTAGTGGGAGCGATCTCCATGTTTCTTCATTTCTACAACGATGGAGACATAATACAGATGAAGAACAGATTTAAGAGAGTCACACAATGAACAGGGGCGTCGATGGAGAATCAGATGTGAAGATTGATGGAGAAGAAAATGTGGAGATCGATAGAGAAGGAGGTCGATGGGGTTTAATGTGAGTAGCTGGGGGAGATGGGTGGTAGGGAAAAATTAATGTAAGTTACTGGTTGGGTGTATAGGACAAGGGTTTCCTACCTAAGTGAATCAGCCATCGACTGATTGAATCAGCTCCTACCCAACAACGAGGAACGGATGCATGAATCATCCATATTTGTATGGCTCAATAAGCTGTTACAAACATTTCATCTATGTTAAGAACTCAAGAGGTGTTGCCGTTAAAACCTCCAACTACAGAAAAAAAAAATATCATTATTCATATGGTTGCACCAAACAATGGGTAAATTACAAAAATGCAACTAGGTTGTTACCAAGTTTATTTTTGGCCATCAAACTTGTGAAAATTAACATTTTTAGTCCACTTTATTAAATCAACCACGAATTCAGTCATCGTAGGTGATTTGTCAACTGAAAACTGTCAAAATAGTTATGTATATTGCGCTACGTCTATTCAGTGGCAAAAACGTCAATGTCATCCTTTTTGGATGAAGGCAAGTAAATTAAAATCGAGCATTTAAAGGCCAACATTTTATGTAAATATGAATGTATCGTTTTACTTTTGTTTAGTACATAATTTAATATAGTTATTGGTTACTTTAGTACAAGGAATAACTATAACTTCAACAATATATCCATTCTTTTAGAGTTTCATCATGATAGTTTATTTCATATATATATATATATATATTATTACAGTAGAGGAACGATCATGTGAGAAGTTAAACATTTTGTGAGAAGTCGATAAGTTTCAATATTATATATGATTACATTACTTTCGGTGGGTTTAATCATATATGATTGAGCGTCTATGTGTTGTCAATGCAACTTGTGTTTAATCATATATGATCAAGCTTGTGTATCATACGTGTAATCATATATGATATTAAAACTTCTTGCCTTCTTGTAAGATATTTAGTTTCTCGTTTGAGTCTGCTCCTATTACAATATACCAAAGACTATATAAGTTGAAGAATGACTCTTCTAATTTAGGGGTTGTTTCCCTTTTTAATATATTAACTTGGATATCTAACCCGCTATGTGAGCCGACTAATCCCAGGACGACCACCTGCTTTGCAGATAGCCCGGAGTCACCGCATTTGAACCTCCATGGCCACAAGAGGATCTTTATTCTTCCTTGGATTTGAACCTGGACCTCCTGATACTTTTAACCTTTGGAGCCAAGCTCAAACCAATCAGGCACCATCCTTGTTTGAAGTAAAATGGTTCTTTCGCTTTTTCTGAATGGTTTGAAGTAAAATGGTTTAAGTGTTCAAAATGCTTAAGAGGCTATGTATGATAAAATGTAGAATGAAATATGGTTGTTTGGTAACTGTTCTGAATGGACAGTCTGAATGGTAGCAAATTACCATTTTAACTCTTTGTATGATTTAATTCTGAATGAAATATAGTTGTCTAATAGATATTTGAATAAAAAATTACTTTGCAAATATAACTACATACTCAATATTACTAGTTGAAAACAACATTTCATATTAATCAAAACAAACATAACATTAAGTGTTCAAGTTCTATAATAAACAAAAACATAACAATCAAATCCCAACATAATAGTTTGGACAAATTGCATGAAAAACTAACGTACTTTAACTTGATTCTTATTTTAGGTAATGTACTTTCAGAACTTTCATTTTGGTACCTAAGATGTAAAGTTTTGAACATTTAAGTACCCGGATAACCATTTGAATCATTAACCGGTTACCATCAATGTGATAAAGTTCGACTCGTCAAGTTAGACGAGTTTTATTTTTTGTTCGAGATCAACTTAAGCTCGAGAATGACTTACACTCAAGAATTATTAAACTTGAGCCTGAGTAGCTCATTAAAAGGTCGAATCGTTTATACCCCTACCTAAAACCTTCTCCAAAATGGAGAAAGTATAAAATAGATGATAAAATTCTCAAAATTTTGAGATTTTTCCAAAAATGATTACTTTATGAGAAAGAAACTATTTTTTATTCATTTTCAATGAGATTGCTTGAATTTAAATGTTTAAAAGAGAGAAATAATATTTTATGAGTTATATTGAATATTTTAATAATATAACCAATTGTGTAATCTCCAAAATAAAGAATCTATTGGAAATGAAGGTAATTTCTTTTTGCAGATTTTAACTGTTCACTTCTCCATTTTGAAAAATATGTCGGAGATGCTCTGACAGATAAGAAGGTCTCAAAAAATTGGCCAACATAGTCAATCTCCCCAACCAAATTCACTTTTTAGCCATTTTTTCAATCGAATTTCCATTTTAGTTAGAATTTGCACAAGGCATTTGCGTAAACTTGATTACTAGATTAAAAAATATATATATGTTTACGAAAATTTGCACATGGATCCAATTTTACGTAAGAATTCTTTTTTCTTTTTTTTTAATCTAAAAATAGGGATTACTCAAATGGGTAAGAAATTTGTGTAAAACTCTAGCTAAAATGAGTGTTCGATTCCAAAAGTGACTAAAAAATGAATTTAATTAGAAAAATTAGTTATTTTGATCAATTTTTCTTTTATTTGTCAATTGAGTTTAACCCTTAAAGTTAGAAAAAGAATTGCAAAACAGACGTTTTAATAAAAATAGTTTCTCTACCCCTTTGAGGTAAACTACGGAGGCAATCTTTACATGCATCCTATTCCGGGTTATTATCTTAAATGGTCATCTCATAGAAAATAAAAAATAAACCTTATAGCCACCTCACAATTCTTTCTCATAAATAGCCAAGAAACAATAAATTAACATTGTAAGATACTTTTATTTGTGGTTTCTAACAAAATCTGACGCGTCCAATACACAGGGTGCCCACCATAGAAATAAGGACATCTCCAATTAGGGGTGCTTATGGATTGAGTTGATCGGTTTGAAGAAATTTGAACAACCTATCCCAATGCATGCAGTTTGAAAAATCTTAACCCAACTCATCCAAACCAAAGTGTAACCCAACCCAAACCGTACGGGTTGGTCGGGCTGATACTTTGGTCATTAAAATATTATTCTAACCTTGAATATGTTATTTCTCCACTCATAATTTCTTTTTCATCATTAATCATTTGATACAACTTATTCATACTTCTTACGTATATCAATTTAGTTAATTTCTTCAATTTACATATATATGTTCACAATTACTGAACATATATACAAATGAGTTATATAGAGATGTGAATAGCTTGAAAATATGTGTATATGAAAAACGTACGTGATAGTGTAATTATCTAACACACACACACACACACACACACACATATATATATATATATATATATATAAATTCAACAATCATATTAAATTCAAGAAATAAAAGGATATCGAGTTCATCAGGTTAGGTTGGATTCAAATAATAGTAACTCAATATCAACTCAATACCTACAGTTTGAAAATTTTACAACTCGATTAAACATCGGGTTGAGTTATTTCGCATTGGGTTGGGTTGAGTTGATCAGATTGGTCGGATTTTTGAGCACCCTATCTCCAATAGCTATGCTATTTTGGAAAATTTTGCTCCAACATTTATGCTAAACTCTCCAAAATAGAGAAAAATGAGAAATCTCCAAATTTAGAAAAAGAGAGAAGAACACATAACATACCTGTTGAAAATACTCTAAAACCCCACAAGTTGTTGAGATCATCTCCATAGGTACGCTACATTTTCCAAATTTGAAGATTTATCCATTTCATTTTTTTTCTATGTATTTTAAACGAGAGTTTAGCATAACCGTTGAAACAACTTTTTAAAAATCTCATTTGTTTTTCAAAATATCGTAGTTGTCGGACTCTGGGAGATGATTTGGATTGGTTTTTTAATTACATGAGAATTTTTACAAGTAGAAGTTATGTAAGAGTACTGGAGAAAGGAAAAAGTCAAAATGTACTTGTGCCAAATGTATATTATAAAATCTAAAGACCAAAGAAGAATTATGCAACATTCACACTCTCACACACACATACGGTACAAAATCATTAAATTAAAGACCCACACCACCCCCCATCCATCTCCCTCACCACCCACCCCCACCCCCCCAATCGGGCTCTGTAAATACAAATAACTTTACTTCAAGAAAACCCCAACACCCATAAACAAATGGACCAAAAATGCTTCCTTTTTTCACTTTCTTTCCTCTTGGTCCTCAAATCTACAGCAAACGGTGCTTCATTTAGTGTGGGTGGTGGTGTTGGGGTTGGGGTTGGTGTAGGTGGTGGGTGGGTGGGTGGTGGGGTGAACATCCCAAGCCCATCACCTCCTTCACCTTCAAATCTCAAGAATGCCTATTTTGCCCTTCAAGCATGGAAGTCAGCCATCAAAAGTGACCCAAAAGGGATATTGAGTTCATGGGTTGGATCAAATGTGTGTGCTTATAAAGGAGTGTTTTGTGCAGATCCTACACAGGAAATGGGTGATCCATCTGGGCCAGTTGTTGCAGGGATAGATCTCAACAATGGCAACCTCAAGGGCATTCTTGTCAAGGAACTTTCACTCCTCACAGATATTTCTCTACTTCACCTCAATAGCAATAGATTCACAGGCACTATCCCAGAGAGTTTACAAGACCTTTATGCCCTCACTGAGCTTGACCTCAGTAATAACCAGTTCTCAGGACCATTTCCATCTGCAACACTTCGAATCCCAAATCTTCTCTATTTAGACCTCAGATTTAACTCTTTTTCAGGACCCATTCCACAAGATCTCTTTAACAAGAATCTTGATGCAATTTTCCTCAATAACAACCTGTTTGAAGGTGAAATCCCTCAAAACTTAGGGAATTCACCTGCTTCTGTGATCAATTTGGCTAACAACAAGCTCACTGGTGACATCCCAATAAACTTTGGGTATTCAGGTCCAAGATTGAAGGAGATTTTGCTGTTGAACAATCAGTTGACTGGATGTATACCTCAAGGAATTGGGATGTGGTCAGATGTACAAGTGTTTGATGTAAGTTTTAATTCATTGATGGGTCATTTGCCAGATACTATATCTTGTTTGGAAGGAATTGAGGTTTTGAATGTGGCTCACAACAAGTTATCAGGTGAGTTGCCAGATTTGGTTTGTGAGTTGAGAAGTTTGTTGAAATTGAGTGTGGCTTACAATTTCATATCTGGGTTTAGTCAAGAATGTGAAAAGTTGTATGGTAGGAATGTGGGTTTTGATATTGCATTGAATTGTATTCCGGGGTTGGAAATGCAAAGACCTCAGCCCGAGTGTTCTTTGATTCCTGGTGGTGGGTTGAGTTGCCTTAGAATCCCTTCTCTTAGGCCTCTTGCCTGTGGGACTTTGCTTCAATCTCTAAACTCATCAGCTCCATGAGAAAAAAATATGAGATTAGAGATCGAGATGATTCGGGTGTATTTACGCACATAGATACACTCGAATCATCTTAGGGATTTCGTTTTGGAAGAGAGTGATTTGATGGGTGTTTCTCACTAAGTGAGAAGGGGTAGAGGAAGAAGTTATGGGCAATAACTCAATGATCTGTTGGGGGTAGTATGGTAAAAAGATTGTCAATTTATGTAATTAGTATTTGTGTTTGTATGGATAACACATGTTTCAGAAAGATTTAGCAATCTTGGTATAGTTATTTGACTAGCACTCATAATGGAGGTTGACCATTGGTTTATTCATAACCAACAAAGTGTTGTATTTTATATTGCATAGTTCTTTCTTGTTATAAATCTAGTGCATCAAATGGCTCTACCAGATCACAACTATCTTAGTTTGGAAAAACAACTTCTTTCATGGTCATGACACTCGCTTTAACGCCCCCTTTTTTTTCTTTTTGATAACCATGGATGTTCAGGTCGCAGACCTCAATTAATCCCATGGGACCTTGAATATAACAACCAGAAAAATCTCTGGTGGCGTGGGGGAGGAGCCCCAAGGCCTCCCCTTTTTTTGTCAATTTTAACACACCGTGCATCCCTATGTCACATTATGCCTCACGCTCACCAAACCGCACATGATTCTGCTAAACAACGTCATCTAATTCATGATACAAACTAGACAATAAGGAGTTGAATGAAGATATGAAAGCTTTAAAACAAAAAGGAGTTCATATGATGGAATAATAAACAGTGGGTTTGAAGTATCTTTGTTGATGATGCAGGGTCACATGCTAATATATGATAAAAGACAAAACTGAGCTTTCAGGAAAAGCTGTTAATAAATTTATCTAATAATTTCAAAATTCGGATTATTTAAAAGATAACCAACTTTGTCCTTGTTGATGACTAATGTCACATGTGAGTACAGACAGGTGAAGGGCCATTTTTCCCAAATTTACACTTCTATTCTCTTAGGTTTGGCCCACATCACTAGACCCCTCTACCACGGGTTTAAATCATTCTAATCATATCGAATCAAATTAACCTTTTAAAGGTTCACGAAGTTGGACCTTATTTTTGTGTAGGATTTACTGTGTTTGTTTGGTTTGATCCACAAAACCGTCACTCACATGGTTGATATCTTATAAAATAGTCACCATCTCCTCCAACAAAATTTGGGCCATTTTTCAAAGTCTCACCTTCTCCACAATGTCAACATCTGAGCACCTCCAATCTAGCTGGCTTAAGATTTGATCCTCTCTCTCATCAATGCTGGCCTCACTGTGCCTTCATTTCAAAGTTTTGGCCTCTCTGTGTGTCCATCTCTAGTGCCCACAATGGTCTTTTTCGTTTTTTGGACCGTTAGCCTAACCACTAGGCACTAGTCATTATATATTTTCTTATTGGAGGGGTACCATTCTCTAAAGAGTGATTTATTTACTAGAACAATGCAATTATATTTTATCATCAAAGAAATTACTGAAAGATCATGAAATTTTGATATATGTCGGTTTGAAGTCTTTTGTTGTTTTCTTTTGCTTCAAAATATTTGGAAGCAAGTAGAGGCAACCGGGTTCAACCACTCAAACCTCCTACACTCCTGGCCACTCATGGCAAGAGATATCTTATACATGCTTCTGTCCGTATGTTATTGTTTACTTTTAACCAACTTTTCAAACTTCTATCATATTTGATTTTCACTCCGACACATTTTTCACAAGGCAGGTCCTTCACCTAAACAGCCGTGCCCACTCTACTTTTGGGGTATAGATCATGTTTAAGTACATCTTATCCTCCCAAGACCCCACCTCCAGATGGGATATACTGGGTTAGTTTGGTCATCAAAACTGTCATCGTACTCGTTAGAGAAAAGGTCAAATGATCGACTTCATGGTATCTTTGATGGTTGTCACAGCCCTCGGGAGATGGTGGCCATTTCGTACTTATGTTTGGTCACTGGACATCTATTTATATATACAAATCTGGTGAAATCGATGTTCATGTTTGTTCACCCAATGAGATTCAAAAGCATGAACAAATCAAATTTGACTTGAAAGAACTTAAGTAGATGCATTGCATTAGATACTTCGATAATAACAAATTTAGCAAAGAAAAGATGAGCATGATTAACCTTAACACATAGATTCATTAGATGCTTCGATAATAAGAGAAACAGATTACCCAATGGTAGAGGTGATGATGACAAAGCCTCGTTGAATCCATGGCTGAGCTTTAAAGGCTGTCACTAGAAACATTTTGAAGCTAGAATAAGAGTCACTAACGAAAAAGAAATACCATTAAGTATCCATTAATATAGAAGTGACCCTTACACGATGTAGTAGCGAATACACAAATTTGAAGGCAGACAAACATGGCTCGCAAACATGAAAGCAATCAACAACGCAGAACTAGAAGTGACGGATATTTTGACCATTATATTGTGCTCTAAACTCAGGCAATGTAATACAATGGATTTGGAAGTTTAAACGATCTTTTTCCTATTGCAAAGCCCAACAAATCGCTCCATTGGTCTCCCGAGCTACCATGTATTCTATAACCATCATCTTTTAGTTCCTGTCTCTTCTCGGATTTGTATAAAGTAGCTGGTTTACCTAAATCTGATGTTCCCCTGTTCATTCATAAACAGATCAGAGTTGAGCAACCCATGTCATTTCTCAGTTTTATGAGATATGTTATAATCAAGATACAAGCATTGGACAAATGATTTCTTAAAGAATTGTTGGGTTTTAGAATACTACCTTAAGATAAGCTTTTCATAGTTGGTGAATCCAGCATACTGGAGATTCTTATCTGTACTTTTTCTTTGATCTTCACTTCGGCCTGTTAACAAGAAGATCTTGAACCCCAGCTGTTGAAGTTCTGTGTACAACCTCAAACTTGCTGGTAAGGCAGGAGCCTCGGCCAAGTCTACCCACTCATTGAAAGAATTCTCATCAAAGACTTCTGATCTATTTACACGAAAGCAGTCTAGTTAATTGTAAGTGATAGTATTATGTTAAAGCATCATACTATTACTCGAAGAAATTTGTGCTTCAATTCTGTCGAGTAATTAAAAATCAAAAACCAATCATCTTTAACAGAGCAAATCATCTGAAGCAGAAAGAATAGGAAGCCGTGTAGCCAGCTACAAGTTGGCAAATTCAGTGTGAAACCAAGTTGGAAGGAAGATGGGCAGAATTAAAAGAAGTTATATGAATCGACACCCCATATAAGACATATATCGGTAATTGAAAGTCTATAATTGAAATGTGTCATGGATAAAAAAAACTTGCAGTCTTGATCCGAATTTGCATGAACTTATAAGCTATCACAAAAAGTTATAATAGATAAAGGAAATTCAAAGATTTGCATGGATAAAACTTGCTCTCTTGATCCCGATTTGCATGAACTTCTAAACTATCATAAAACAGATAAAGGAAATTAAAAATAATGTGAAGAAACACTGCAACAAAAAATGTTCAGGAAGTGTATTAAAAAGTTTGGGCCTGAAAGGTTATATGATGTATGCCCAAGTCCTTAAGCCCTTCATTTTGCACGTCAGATACTTAGATGTATAACATCCTGAAGTATAAGCGAAATAAAACCAAAGAAACCTTCTGGCAGAGAACGGTCTATACTGCAGGAATGAATCTAACTTCGTATCGCTAGCTTTTATTTTCTGCCATGTTGCCCATAGAGATATAAAGTTGTTTGTTTCAGATATTGGATCCAAGGTGACCAATGCAATTACAAGTACAACAATTCACCATGACAATGACTGACGGATGGATTTCAAATTATAACAACCTCTAGACTTCCAAATGAAAACAGGGAGCTAGAGGATCTGTTGTATTTGGATCAGCTGTGTAACTCGAAACAGTCGTTGGCTTAGTGATAACTACACTCAATAAGAAAGAACTCAGAAAATCACCCAAAAATGGCCCAGATGTGGCATTCACAAAAGTAGGCTAACTAGAAACACGTCAAACCAGATCTCACTTCGCCGTTTCAGATACCGGGTTTTTGGTCTCAAAATTGAAGGAACAAAAAACACTTCTGGCATTCAGATGAAGGTAGTACATGCTAAAGTTGGCAGGGAGTTCCTGCTCAAATTTCTATTTCCATGCTGCAGCCTGCAGTTACTGGTTTGGATGCTGACATGCTGTGAAGGAACCCATATTACATCCATAATTCCAAACAAAAGATCATATGTTCATTTGGCTGAAAAGTGAAATAGCTTAGAAGATGAGCAAACACCAACCCACCATACGAGAAAACATTAGCGAAGCTACATGAAGCATACTCTAGCACACTCGTAGTATAGACATCCAGTATCTACAAATTGAAGTTTGGCGATCAATTATAACGTGTATATATTGGGGGAATGATTGTAAATTGTAGCTATAGATCCAATCTATCTATTTGTATTTCCTTGTTGACATGTAACCCTAGTCACAGTTAACCATGCAAAATTGCAAATAAATTATTCGGCTTAACTTGCCTGATATGTGTTCTTCCAACACTAATTACAGAAGAACCTAGTACTCTTGGCATATCTTTCAATATCTTACTAAGAGAAGTGCATAATTAATTGTGCATTATCTTAAAGATTAAAACCTTTCACCCATCAAATCTACAATTCGAAACACGAGTATATCATTAATATGAGGAATAATAGGTATAAAACAAAACCTGACGACTGACGTAAAAAAACCAGCATTTGTACTGGTATAAAATAATTTCAAAATGTAGCTTATAACCCATCAGATACCTTTTGTAATTGCATCACTCATTTCTCTCCACTCTTAACTTCTAATGATAAGATATTCTTTCATTTTGGAAGTCTAATATGCTGCATTCCAACTTCAATTGAATACCACAAGGACAAAATCCACAATAAACATACTATAGAGACCCTAGTAAAAAAAAATATCAAAACACAGGGACCAAATCCACAATTCACTCTAGAACTTCATATTATGTTTAACAAATGCTCTAAATTCTTCCAAACCAACCTGAGTTTGGCTCAGGTAGAGAATAAAAGCACAAGGGCCTAACCAAGAAATAGAGAAGAAGAAGGCACATTTTGAATCTCTTGACAACATTCACGCTCCTATATGAATAACCCTACCAAGAGTGTCACATCAACTGGTCCTATCCAGGAGACTATGGAAAGAGAGCAGGCGGCTAGTGTGAGTGAGCTCCCAAGAGAATTTTAGTGGCTCCTGTTTGGCATGAAAACTATGTGTTGGGGTGAATCTATTATTGCAAATTATGATAACCAACAAAGGAAAGTAGTATTGGGTTAGGATTGGTACTGGAATAGGATTATTGTTGGGTTATTGCTTTGTGTTTATCTTTTTCCTAGGAGTGGTAGGATTTATATCTAGGTTTTGGGATTATGCAAGCTTGAATTAGTTCTTATCTCCTCACCATTCTTCCTACTTCCTACAATCTTTCTGCAGTCGGCACTAGCTCGAAGAGTGTGGGCTAGGTCAGCCGTCTTGATCATATCACAGAGACCGAACAAAAAGGGTCAAATCCCTATCACCCTTTGTACTAGCTGCATTACAAATAGCCGGGGAGGAGCTTGAAAACAGGTGAATAGAACTGAAAAGAGGCACTGTCAATTTCTAAAACCTTTTAACATCAATGAACTACGTGACAAAGATGCGTGAAAATGAATGTGACTCTTGCATTTGGAAATGAATATCAGAATATGGTTCAAGATTCCTTTTACGAGAACAACGATGATAACAAATTAAATTCCCTGGTTTATTTGAGGACGATGTTACTCCTCTACGATCAAAAATAGACTAAAGACTTCTGAATTAACAAGGCTGCTATGCATTTTCAATTTTTTGTGGATGCGAAATTCTTGCGTAAATCTTATAACAAGTATTACAACTCTCCGGGCACAAGCAGAACTCTTTTTTTGTTTCTATTTGATGCACAACCATCTGATTTTGAATTTCCAATGTATCAATTTCATCTCAAAGATCAAACCGTAGCCCTTTGTAGGACAAGGTAGATCAGCAACATCCATATGTACAGATCTAAATGCATAATTTAGAAGTTACTATAGCGAGATTGTGCTCTAAATGATCTAGAGAAGACATCCATCCCAACTTTAATTGGTCGGCGGAGCCAAAAAAAAGCATTCCACTCACTGTCCAACAGATCATATAAGTATCTAACGTACACCAGTGACCAATCATAGAGTAAAAAACAACCATAATCATCCGTATCATATGTCAAACAGCCAAAAACGCATCGGCTTACCCGTATCCGTGATTCACATAGTACGGCATATTGGAGAGCAAAGTCTCATCGATATCGAAGATCCAAGCATCCTTGCCGTCGCCGGCAATATTCACCGTCCTCGCGTGCTTCAATGCGTAATCGGCTATGACCTCCGAATCCGACCGATATCGTTCTCCATTCATGTACTCCTGGACGAAACTCACGCACTTTTCCGGAACAACATACCACACTCCGACGTCATTGGTTTCGATGGAGAATTTCCAGCTTTCGCAGAACAATTCGTTTTTCCGAGAACTGAGGACACCGGAATAGACCGAGGCACCTCGATCTCCCGAAGGCATACGGATCAATCGTTCCGATAAGGAACCGGTAGCAAATGAGAAGAGGAAGAGGAAGAGGAGTGCGACGGCAAATCGGCCGGAATCCATAACGGAACGAAGGGAGAGGACTTCCCCAGATATGAAGGCGTCGTCGATGAAATCTGTTTACTTTACAGTTTACACCTTATCGTCGAGTAAGTTACAAATTTTGCCCCTACACTATTAATCAAAATTCAATTTTGGTTCATTCACAAATACTTTTGCATTTTTAGTCCAAAATATAATTCTTAAAAAGTAAATTACAAAACCTTTATTATGGTTTGTATTTTATTACAAAGTTAGTCCCTGACGATGAGGATCGTTAAAGTTTTTCTGTTAAGTAAATCACATGCAAGTCATGTGAGTCATGAGGGGAATTTGTTTATTTTATATTTTCTTTTATGATCTTTTAGTGTACAAATATATAAAGCATATATATAAGTGCTTAAAACATTTCCTGATAAAACTAAATTAACTTTCACTCAGGGGTTGTCTGGCAGTTTTTGAATAATTTGGTGTAAAATGATTAAGAGGCTCTCATCATATAGTGTAAAATGAAATATAATTATTTTGTAATTATTTACGATGAAATTAGAACACTGAATGGTTAAAGGAGACCCATGATACAAAGTCATTTAGAGAGTTTTGTAACCATTAAAAGACATATTTTTTTTGTCAAACAATGTTCACATCTTAAAGATTCAGAGGTTGTCTCTTAATGAAACTATTAATAGGTAAACAAACAACCCATGAGCCTCCCTAACTGGTGCTCCTCCTTCTCTGGCACCCCCTTCATCATCGCTCCCTCCTTATTTGACACCCCTCTTCTACACCGCACGCCTTTTTTCCCTTTTCCCACTACCATACCACCGTCCCTGTAAAAACCTAGGAGGACCTATCTTTCATCGATGTTGTTTCTAGTGCTTTGATCCCTTCTCTCACTCGTTTCGATCCTCTTTCCCACTCTCGTAAAGACAATTAAATCCACAGAGGTGGGGTTGCAAAAGGAAGAATTTAACGATGGAGATGGATACAAGGGCAGTTGTAGCCACCACATTAGTTTACAATTGGATATAGCCTGTAGGATACAGTGCAGATGGGATCCTTTACTGCAGATTTCTAAGCCGTTTCTTTGGAACAAGAATTTCCATGAACATTTGAAAATTCTTGCTCCACAGAACTCGAACGTGATTTAAATTAAAAGTAAATGTTTAAATTGGGATGCCAAAATGATAACCCAGATAATGGTTTTTTTACTTTGGCATTGTAATGCTTTCAGAAAATTGCTCTTTTTCTACTCAATTATTGGGTTAAGTGTTTTTCTCCACCATTTCAACACGTTCAAGAGGCGTTTAGTTTGATGAAATGGTTTTGAGGGATTTATATTTCGTGAAAGGATTTGAAACTGTAATGATTTGAAAACTTTTGTGTCTGGTTTGTTAAGTTTTGAAAATTGAATTGAATTCCATTTTTTATAAATATCTTATAAAAATAATTAAATTATTATTTTATTAAATTGATTATTATCTATACTATATTATAAAAACATTTGACAAAACCTCTTAAAAACCATTTTTTTTAAGCATTACGTACTGTTTATTAATGCATATTACTTAAAATTCAAGATTATAAGTAAATTGTGCGTAAGTACAACATATTAAAGCTTCATGTTTGAATTCGTGTAATTAACTGCAGATAAACATAATCAAATAGAGAATAAATATCTCATTTTATATATAAAAAAATCTAAAATATAATTAGGATAATCATTGAGTTCTAACAAACTACTTAATCATTATCTTTATAGAAAATTACATTATTAAACCAAAAATTAAAAAAAAAAGTTAAAGAAATACAAAAAAAAATGAAAAAATTTAAATAATTAGTTTAGTACTAATATCAATAACTTTTTTTTTATTTTTTATAATATATCTTCATATTTATATTATTATCGTTTTCTCAAAACCACATAAAATTGTATTATAACACAAATTAAGACAAAAAAATGAAACATTAAAAATTGAGATGTATCTCGTTGCATTGTGCGAGTAACCTTCTAGTAATTTATAAAACAAATGTTTTGAACATATTTTAAAATATTATTAGGCACAAATCCTATGAAATCCTGCAAACTACCAATAAAACCCATGGGATTTCAATAAAATCCCGATATCTTAATCCAAACAATCCTTTAAACCATATATAAAATTGGATATAATTGAATTTCAAATCCCCCCAAATCCTGCATCCTACAAATCAAACAGACATTGGGTTTTTTCATCCTTGTACCTCATGTTGTAATAAATCTCCAATTTAAAACTTGTTAACTATCATCGATCTTATCACTTTTTTTTTATTAACCTGGATATCCAAACTCGTTATGTGAGCCGACTAATCCCAGGGCGACCACCTGTTTTGCGGGTAGTCCGGAGTCACCGCATTTGAACCTTCGTGGCCACAGGAGGATTTTTATTCCTCATTGAATTTGAACCTGGGACCTCCGATGAGAAACCATCAATCCTTTTGAAAGAAATTATGGCTCTTGCTCATATTTGGTTTTCTTAGAGCATCTCCAATCGACTGTCAAATACCCATCTTATTGGCCAAATCCATTCCAGGCTGTTAAAATCAAAAAGAAATTGTCGGTCTTAAATTTTGACCTGCAAATATACACTGTCAATTTGACACAGCAAATTTGGATAGACCCACAACTATCCAATATTAGATATTGTTTTAATATTTTCTTTAATAAATATGAGTTAGTTTTAAAATATAATCCAATCTTAAATATAACTATTTAGTTTTTTTATATAAGTTATTTAATTTATTATTTAATATATATTATATATTTAAAAAACATATTAAGTTTTGATAAAAAAAAAATGAAGGTCGTTAACGAAAATGTTGGGTTACCCCTTGGACCTGCGACCAATTAAGTGATGACATATGCATGATCACAAAAAGTGGAATAAGTTGCTTAAACTATAAACAGTAGGGGTGTTCGCGGTCCGGCTTGAGCGGTTTAAGCCCTCAGACTACAAATCAAACCATAATGGCGGTTTGTGAAATTTTCAGACCGAACGGTTTGAAACCAAGTGCCCAGACCGGTCAAACCAGACCACGAAAAGGCGGTCTGGTCTGACCGATTTAGGCGGTTTGAGCCTTTAATGAGTTTTAAACATTAAAACCAAAAAACCTAGTGTTATATGTACTATTATAATTTGAATAATAAATATTAATCACCCATCATAATCATCTCCCATGGAGATTTGTTTTCTACAATAAAA